TTGAGCTTTTAGTTTACCTTTTTAAGTACTTTTATTAGGAGTAAGTCTTCCGCTAAGTAGTAAGCCAGGTCAAGGGTTTGTTGGGGCCAACAATGATTCTCGAGTGTCAGTTCCACCCAGGGTGTAGGCTCGGGGGGTGACAAACTTGATATCAGAGCACAAAGTTCAAGAGTCTTAGAGAGTCTATGAAGCCGTGTCTGTAGAGTCCTAGTTATTGGTGTGTAGCGTGCCACATCTATATCTAGGAGGCTGCAACACTTAGGATCTATCTCACTTCTTTTATACTCATTTCGTGTAATATTGTTTATCTCTAAAAAGTTTCTTCTAATTTGTGCTTGCGCGTGTCTTTCAGATCATGCCTCCACAAAGAGTTGTCAGAGGTCATCCTGCTAGAAGGAATGTTGAACCACGGGAACAAGGGATACCTAATGCACCTAAAGTGCAACCCTAATGAGAGGTCACTAATGCTGAGTTCTGGGAAGCTATCCGGTTGTTGAGTCAAGCTGTGACCAATCAAGTTGGACAAAAAGAAAGTTGACAGAAAGTGGATGATATTTCGAGGATCCATGAGTTTTTAAGGATTAAGTCGCCAAGCTTCACTAGTTCAAGTGTTACTGAGGATCCATTAAACTGCGTTGAAGAGCTTCAGAAGGTTTTTGAGATTATGCACATTACCATAAATGTCAAAAATTAAAAACTAATTTGAAAAAATCCTAACCTTGAATTAAAGGAGAAATTATAGACAATGGAAAGGGAGCTAGGCAACAGCTAGGGCGGCGGCAGCAGCGGCGGTGGCGGAAGGGGCGGCATCAACGTCTTTGGCGATTTTAGAGAGAAGGAAGAGAAGGAAGAATGGGAAAAATTTGCGTCTGTGTATGCAGATATTTTAAAGAAAGTGACGGACAACGTCTCTTTGTCCGTTGCTTTTCTTTTAAATGGCTGACCAACATTTTGACCAAAAAGTGATGGACTAAGCGACATTATCCGTCGCTTTTTTGAAATATTTGACCATCTATTTTGACCAAAAAGCGACGAACATAAAGATGCCGTCTGTCGCTTCTTTAAAAAATAGTTAATCAATTGATTAATAGAAAGTGACGGACATCGTAGTTATTTTTTAATTTATAAATAATTATTTTTAATAAAAAGTAACGGACAACGTCTCTACCTATATTAGATAATTAATTATAAATTATATATATATTTAGCGCAAAAATCTAGGAAAAAAGTGACGGACTAAGAGATGTTGTCGCTTTTTGTAAAAAAAATAATAATTATTTTTATTAAAAAGCGACGAACAGTATGACAATTGGCTTCGCTTTTAGGTGCAACATCGTCCGTCGCTTTTCCGTCCGTCTTTTTTTTGACAGATTTTTAGTAGTATAAGAAAACAAATGCAGTTAAGAGTTGGCCTAGATCTCTATCCCCTTCGGATATTTGATGTTTCTTGGGTTTGTCTGGTTATTATGGAAGGTTAGTTGAAGTGTTTTCTTTGATTGCTTCTCCATTGACCCAAAAGAAAGTTAAGTTCTTATGGTCGAAAGTGTGTAAGAAGAGTTTTCAAGAATTAAAAGATAGACTTACCTCCACTTTGGTGTTAACTTTACTAGTAGTATCTGATGGATTTGTTGTTTATTGTGATGTTTCAATGATTGGATTAGGGTGTGTTCTTATGCAAATTCGGAAAGTTATTGCTTATGCTCCAAGGCAACTCAAGATTTATAAAAAGAACTATCCTACACAAGATTTGGAACTAGCGGCGGTTGTTTTTGCCTTAAAGATATGGAGACATTATTTGTATGGTGTTCATGTTAATGTTTTCACCGACCACAAAAGATTTCAATATGTGTTCAAGGAAAAGGATTTAAATCTTCGCCAACGTAGGTGACTAGAACTTTCAAAGATGAATGTCCTTTATCACCTGGGCAAAGCCAATGTAGTGGTCGATGCCTTAAGGTTGTTATATATGAATAGTGTTGCACATGTTGAGGATGATAAGAAAGAGTTGGTTCGTGATGTTCACCGACTAACTCGACTAGGTGTTCGGTTGGTTGATTCAAGTGAGGGTGTTTTTGTTGTTCATAATGGTTCAAAATCATCTTTTGTGTCGGGTGTAAAAGCCAAACAAGGTCTTGATATGATTTTAGTTGAGTTAAATGAAGTGGTGCTTCAAAAGTCTGTTGAGCCTTTCTCCCAGGGGAGAGATAGTGTGCTTCGATATCAAGGTCGTTTATGTGTTTCCAATGTTGATGACTTGAGAGAGCAAATCTTATCAGAAGCCCATAGTTCTCGATATTCCATTCACCCCGGATCCACCAAGATGTACCATGACTTACGGGAGGTCTATTGGTGGGATGAGATGAAGAAGAATATTGCGAAATTTTTGGCTAAGTGTCCTAATTGTCAACATGTGAAAGTTGAGCATTAAAAGTTGGGAGGTTTGTCCCTAGATATTTGAATTCCTACTTAGAAGTGGGAAGATCTGAATATGGACTTTATTGTTGGTTTATCCTACACTTGGCGGCAACATGACTCGATTTGGGTATAGTAAACCATATGACGAAGTCGGCTCATTTCATTCCCATCAAGGTCTCTTATTCGATAAAGATTACACTAAGTTGTATCTAATAGAGGTGGTTAGGTTGCATGGAGTGCCCCTATCCATTATCTGCAATTGTGGTACCCAATTTACTTCTCAATTTTTTGTGGAAACATTGTTGTTGTTGCTTTTTTAAAATTTTAGCTTCAAATTTAGTATAATTACAAATAATTAATTATTTTAATAAATAAAAATTATTGTTTTTTGTGGTGCCGACACGTAAGCGCTATCACATCTCCTTTTATATATATATATATATATATATATATATATATATATATATATAATTATTATGGAACACAAAATCAGGTCAATCATATATATGGGCCCATATATTAAGTAATTTCAAATTATTTTAACGAAGAACTGCCTAAAATGTCCTTAAACTATGAGATTTGGTATAATATTGTCTTTTATCCACCTTATAAGTGTGAGTTGTTAGAAATAAGGGTATTTTTGAGCCAAAAGATTGACGACGGAGATATCGCGGGTCGAAAGGTGGACAAAGAATAATTTTATACCAATTCAAATAGTTGAGAAACATTTTAAACTCTTCTGGCCTTCTTTCGAATTTGGCTTTAGACCAAATTGATACATTTGAGCCGCCCGTGTAGTTGCAGGTGTTTATTTTTTCTTTCTATTCTTTAAACAATGACCTAGAAGTCTCTATCTTCTTCAAATTTGTTGAGGTCAAACTACATCCCAAACATCATATTATTTTTGTGAAGCTATTGTATCTACGTTAACAAATAGCCTTCTCAACCGCGACAATACCGCACTAGTTCTAATTATCAGAACATTATCTTTCCACCTAAAGTGGTACTGGCCTAGCCACATATAGTTCAAGATAGTTAATCTAATGCTATTTGTCGAAAAATTATATTATGTATTTAAAAAATTATATGAAATATATATCTATCAAAAAATATTTTTTCACATATATATATTAAATCTTAAATACTCTTAACGAAATTTTTGACTGCTCTACTGAAAGTAATTGTATCTTATCATTTGCCTACAAAAATAACCAATAAAATTTCAGTATTTCAAAACCAAAATATATGCGTAATACACATATTTTTTTTTCTATAAAAAATAACAAAGCAAATCTACATACTTTGGCTAGTTTGATAATGCCCCCCTCCCCCCCCCCCCCCCCCCATCATATAGGTTCCATACTCTTTAAATACATCAACAAATTATATATTAAAGAATCCTCTAGTACAGAACACCTTTGGATTTAATTAGTTTTTCTTGGAGGACCAACTTGGTATTATTTTTATTCTCCTTGTTAATAGTGGAATCCGTGTTTTTAGAGGAAAGGGGGAAGAATCCATGTTCAAGAGATGAGAGGAACAAAAGAAAAGGAGTGGTGGTGTCAACTACATTAATCCGTTATACCCAAGCCAATAATTCAGATGGTTCGAAGAATAAAAGTATAAACCTATGAATAATCAACAAAATACAATTCTAAGGATGTAGTAGTATATAGTTCATAAGTATAAAAAGTTAGTTCTATTACAAGAGACCTCTTAGCACGTTTGAATTTTGAAAGATTGGTCCTGAAACTAAAAAAATAAAATGCTCACAATGAGATTTAAAAGGAAATTTGCCACTATGCTACAACTTGCTTCTTGTTCATAAGGGGGTTCAAAATTAATATATCTACATAAATATAAAATTTTACCTTATATATACTTTGTAATAAAATCCACGTAGGTCTGCCCTTGCCAGTATCCATATTGGAGTCTGACTAAATCGAAATTTGTTTTCATATTGAAGGGTAAAACCTCCCCAAAAAAGTCGAAAAACGTTCGATTAAAGATGAAGAAGTAATTAATATGAACTCCACCATCATCAGTACAAAAGATGTGTGTTGTCTTTAACTAAGCAACAAAATTAATAACATGAAGATTGACCAGGTGTCATTAAGCCACTTGGCAACGAATATATAGCTTAGGTATGCGGTAAAGGATAAAAAAAATAGAATAGTAATTATATCCTGTGTCTCATTTTATGTGAGGTAATTTGACTTGATACAGAGTTTAAAAAAGAAATAAAGACTTTTAAAACTTGTGATAAAAAATGAATGATAGAAATTTGTGACTATAAATTATTTTATTAAAGGTAAATGAATATTTTAAAATTAAATTTTTACTTATATATATATTTTTTTGGGATTGACTAAAAAAGGAAAGTAAGTCATATAAATTAGAATACAAAATAAGATATAGAAATGAAAAGGTAAGATTCGTAGTGAGGTGGAAATTAAAGGTGGGCTAGTGTTTATTTTAATAGCAAGTGTATGGAAAAGGTAGAATTAGAATGAAAATGGGAAGTATAAAATGTTGATAGAAAGGAAGAAAGAGAGAAGTTGTGGTAAGCAAGTAAAGTAAGGTTCAGGTAGTTGAGAAGAAGAGTAGTGCAACAACCTCGAAGCTAGTTCAAACTAGTGGGAGGTTGTCTGCCAAAAAGCAGCCAACACTCAATTAAATGGCTCGTGGTAAGGTTCAAATGAAGAGGATAGAGAACCCCGTTCATCGACAGGTCACTTTCAGCAAACGCCGAGCAGGCCTTCTTAAGAAGGCGAAGGAGCTGTCCGTTTTGTGCGATGCTGAAATTGGTCTTTTCATTTTCTCCGCTCATGGAAAGCTCTATGAACTCGCTACTAAAGGGTAAACATTCTTTTTTCTCTGATTACCTACAAATATAGCTTAATCATCCATAATACTCTATTACTTTACAGTTATCAAGTTATCCGTAATACTATATATACCTTCTATATAAGAAAGTTATTTCTATAAATATCTTAAAACCTTAGATTTTGTTCTTAAGTTTTTTTTCTTTTTTCTTTCCCGTTATTCATTTTTGTGTTTTATGATGGAAGAAGCATGCAAGGACTGATTGAGAGGTACCTCAAGTCAACCAAGGGAGTTGGGGTGGCTGAGGTAGCCAAAGATACACAAGCTCTGGTAAATCTTTTTTTTCTTTAACAGTATAGTTTAATAACATGTTATACATGGGATAAATATACACATTAACAAAAAGTGTTAAAACATTTACTGACATTAAATTCAATATCATTATATGCGATAATTAATTGCTATTAAAAATATTATTTATGATGTAACGTTACTACTATTTATTATAGAGAATTTCCTATATATATATATATATTAATTTAATTGTGTAAATAAATATTTTTTCCTATAGCAATTAAAGTCTCGTTGTAATGTCAATTTTAGCATCAGATGCTGTTTGTAGTGATATATTATTGCATGCATGACACATGGAAAGTGAGAATCACAACAAGATATAATATATTCAGTCGAATAGGGAAGACAACAAAAATTAATTAAGGATTATACTCACTTTTTACAGACAAAAGTACTGCACGGGATGCTTCATGCTTTGGAATATATAATTGCATTATTAACTGGAAAGTATATTAATTTATTTATTTTATTTATATTTATATATATTGGTAATAAGTGATATGAGCCCTTCCTTTGCATTTCTTGCTTTTTGACTTGGAAACTATCTACTCATAAAAAGGTACCCTCTACAAAGAAAAAAAGATCTTGGTTCTGAGGGAAAGGAGAACTAAAAATAAATAGGTGTAGTTATTTTTTAATTATAGTTTTTATCAACAAAATAAAGAGTTGATGCACTTAACTTATGATGATTAGTACTACGTTGTCTAAATGAAAAATTGCTTTTATGCTAGGAAGTTGTATTTAGAAATAATAAAAAATACAAATAGACAATAGTTTTTTCTTATATGTTACAGTAATGAACGAAATTATGTTCTTTAGGACCCAAAAGAGGAGATCAACATGCTGAAGAATGAGATTGACGTACTCCAGAAAGGCTTAAGGTATATATTTATCATTTCTGATCTATCTAACTAATTTTTCTTTGTAGATAACATTGAACCTACCAAACAAAAATGTTGAGAACGATAAAATGACACAAGCCTTCTCTTCATTAACAAAATATTATATACAATCTCCTATGGTGCCTTGATAACTAGCGCCAACTACGATAAAACAGAAAAGATATTAATTGCCTAACATTTAATACCAGTACAACAAGAGACGGAGCTATGTGGGGGTTCGTGGGTTCGGACGAACCACTAGCTTTTCCGTAGACCTGGTATTTTGTATTAGAAAATTAAATACATACATATACCCATTAATAAGAATGATTGACTACTGATCAGTTGTAAGAATGGGCGGTGAAAATGATTTTCACACTAGTGTTGTGGGTTCGAACCCCAGTATCAACATGCTTTGCAATATTTTTCTCTTATGTCCTAAAATTTAGAACCCCCAAACACCTAATCATGGTTCAGCCTCTGAGTAGTGTGCTTGACACCAGTGAGAATTTTAGTGGTGGAGATGTGATGGAGTGAAATGAGCCCCTCGTGAAACTTACTTCCTAAGAAAGTGACAATCAACATTTTAATGCGTTTATGAAAAACAGGATAGTGAGCTATGTGTCTGGTCGATTGGCTATCACAATAAACAACAATGAAATGGTCAATTGAGTAAACAAACTGTGAAGCCAGACCAAGTCACCTACCACCTTTCTCAATGACCTATATATACTCTACTTCTGTTGAGGACAAAGAGATTGTATGTATGTTGTTTCTTTGATTTTCAACTAACAGGATTGTCCCTTAGCTTAAGAATGAGAGGGGTGGTAGTTGAGGCAATCATATTCCTTTAAAACATCCCAAACAAACTTTCTCTGTGAAATGATAACCCCTCAATCTATGCTAAGTATCTCTAGCCCCAAAAGTAGTGTAGTTTGCCAAGATCCTTGATTTTGAATGTGTTGTGCAAATAGATTTTCAGTTGTGTGACTTCTGTTGTGTTTGTCCTTGTTAATATGACATCATTAACATATATAGCTACAAACACCATCAGCAAGGTAGATTTCTTATAAATTACTGCATAATCATGGTGTGAGTGTATCTAATTGTAACGACTCAAAATTGGGAGTCGTTGTGACACCTACCCAATCCAATCATACTAAGTAAACCAATTGTCATACAAATTAAGAAAGTAAATGAAAACGGAAAGTAGAGTAAGGAAACATCTAATAACTCCAAATTAAATCATACTGCAAACTCTCATTATATCTATATAAACGAATATACACTCGATAAATTTCCAAAACCTCAGTGTCACGTGCACATGAGCTAATTAATAAAATTCCATACGTCATTGTCAAAAGTATAAATGAAAAATAAATGAAGATAGAGAGGGAAATGGGTAAGTCTCCAGAGGCTGGAGCTCACCATGAATCTAACTAGATAGACCTCGAATGAATCCAAATCACCGCTGCTAACTCGTGCAGGGATTTGCACCAGAAAAGATACAAAAAATGTAGGGTCAGTACAAATCACCAGTACTTAGTAGACATTATAGGTCGACCGAGCTTAAGCAATTACGATATCGAATAAAGAATACTAAATTTTACCCGCAGAAAATTCCCCAACAGTTTAATATACTCCTGAGATAGAATACACGACCATAGTTCATGAAATTCAATGCAATGCAATGAACAATGATCCTACCAGTATACACCCACTCAAAAGTGGAATATTGTAAGGTAGGACTTGTCACGGACCGAATCTACACCCTGGATGTGGCTGACACTCGAAAATCATTGTTGGTCCCCAAGCAAACCCTCATCCTAGCTGACTACAAGCGTAAGACTAACTCAACCATACATAAGCTTAAAACTGAAATTAAATTTCATTGAACTCAAATACTCAACCTTTTAAAAAGTCTGTACAATATTCAAAAGAAAGTAAATAGAGAAAACTTCTCAACTTTGTCTATCTATGAAGCCTCTACTATTACAGAAGGATATTGGGACAAGACCCACGACATCTCAAAACTACTAATTGTAAGGTAAAGATGAAGCCTCCAGAATATAAGAAGGCCCACCAAAGCTGACTGGAATATCACGTGACCTCAACGAAACGCCCGTTGATGATCCTGAATACCTATAACTGCATAATGAAACGATGCAGGCCAAATGACGTCAGTACATAGAATGTACGAGCATTTAAGGGGAACTCTACAACATAAGTATAATCTCAAACTGAAATAAGGAAGACATAATCACCTTGTCTCAACTCACTATGACTCAAGAATACTCAACTCGACTCAAGAATATTCAACTCAACTCAAGGATATTCAACTCAACTCTGGATACTCAACTCAAACTCAAGATACTCAACTCAAACTCAAGATACTCAACTCAAACTCAAGATACTTAACTCAACTCGAGATACTCAACTAAAACTCAAGATACTTAACTCAACTCGAGATACTCAACTCAAACTCAAGATACTCAACTCAAACTCAAAATGAAAGCAACAATAAAAGATGCTATATACATGAAGCTTTTAAAACAGTAGATAATAACTCAAATGTATATAAAAATATAATAATAAACTCATTATACTTATTTGGAAGATTCTCTAACCGACAACCATCACTGTGAGTTATGTGATGATACAAGATCTCTCCCAAGCTGCAAGAATTGTCCTATACCTTGCCGGGGTATAGGACATCCTCAACAAAGTGGATCCATTAAGCTATGCTTAAAAGGTAATAAAGAATCATCTAAAAAGTTTAACCCTTTACCCATGTTGACAAACATGGTTTATGAGGATTTTGAGTTATCTAAACTCATCCCCATATTGATACTCAATACTACTCCCAATAATATATACTTATCTCATATGTTTAAAAACATAACTCGTCCTGTGGTTTGTGATAATTGATCAAACCACCCTCTTAAAAAAGGCAATTGCTCTTGAAATATCTTTTGAACTCATAACTCATTTAGAAATCTCAGTTTCTCTTTTATCAATGCAAAAATTGATAATTTTGGAATACATAGTCCCCTTATACTCATATTCAACTCATACTTGAAAACTCTTTCTCAAAAACATATCAAAATCATATTAAAATATGATCATTGATGACTTGGGAAGTCATACTGCATAAATATTGATGGTATATCTAAATATCATACTGCTCATACATTGATGACATACTCGATTGTCATACTATTCATGTTTTAAAAACTCTTTTCTCAAAACTCATCTTTACTTTCTCAAATCTCAGTTTAAGAACTCAAGTGTTGGCTTTAAAAAGCTTCTCAAAATTCATAACTCAGCTCATAGGGTTTATGTGGAATTATGGACATGAACGACTCAACTTAGGGGTCTTAATAGAAATATAGAAACTCGGTACTCAGAACTCAAGACTCAAGAACTCGGAACTCATGACTCAACGATAGACTCCTCATCAATGATGCTCAATTCATGGAGTTCATGAGGAATTATAGGCATGAACGACTCAACTCAAAGATCTCAATAACAATGTAGACTCATGAATACAACTCATTCTCATTATCATACTCAAGTACTCAAATCTTAAAACAAGTTTTAAAAGATTGTAAAGACTTCTCTAAATGACTCAAGGAACTTCCTCAAATTTACTCTTAACTCTATCTTTAATTTGAATTATGAATTCAAGGTTATGATTTATGATATATATGATCTCTTGATGATTGAATGTACTTTGGATAATTAAAATCAGGAAGATAGTGAAGATACGCTTTAAAAGAACTCAGATGGGATGAAAAACGAAAGAAGAACGAGGGCAGGCGACCCTGGCGCATTTCAGGGTGCCAGCCCCTAAACTCCAGGACACCATTACTGACGCACTGCAAGCGTGGCGCGCCAGCCCCTCTGCTGCATCTGTGGCCCGTCGCGCCACCCCTTCCCAGAATATTCTAACGAATTTTTTTTCTCAATTTTTTATTCTAATTCACCTAGAATCGATTGTTTTCTTCCAAACTTTCTTAGATTCGTATACCCAACATAAGTAAACAAAAAACTACTCAAATTTCCTCAGGAACAACCCTCAAACTCGAAACCCTCACCTCAAGAACTCATCAATCTTTATTAATAACGAATGAAGAACAAAACTTCAAGAAACTCATCAAAAACTCAATACATGAAATCTCATGGAAAAATTCAATAAGAAAAATCATGATTGACGTGAAGGTGAACTAACCCATCACTATGAAAACTTACATACCTTGAAAGAATTAAATTCTTGGCGAAAATCCTCAAAGCTCACAAAAATCTTGAACACTCTTCTTTTCTCCTCCTGAACTCCTCTCAAAAATTCTAAGCGTGCTTAGGAATGACTAAAACTGATTCCAAGCATTTTAGACCCCTAAAAGATTAAGAAAAATGAGCTAGGCTTGTGGGGGTAAGGAAAAGACTAAAATATCCCTCCTTAAAACGGATGAATTGCCTTAACTAGACAGGCTGCACTCCAACGGGCATATCTCCTTCATTTGAACTTGGAATTTTGCAAACTCAGCGACATTGGAAAGAAGACTCATAGATCTTCGATTTGATAGATCATGGGCCATCTAAAACATTTTGTGCTGAAAGTTATGGTCGTTTGAAGTTTACCAAAGAATAATCTCATAGAGAAATTTAATTGGAAGGAAAATTCCCAACTCAACTTTATGCTATGAAGTTTTAGCGACCTTAACATCTAAGAAAATTTTGAATCACTCGGGAAAAAACTTGAGTCTTAACTTCGAAATTTTTGGGATGTTACAAGGACTCATGGAGGACTCTCGAGGTCCATATACCTATCCGGAAAAGATCCCATGGAGCCTAAAATTCTCTTTCATAAAAATATTGTTTCCATTCAATCAAGTCAAGGATCAATGAAAGGAATGATTATAAATGAGGACGATTAGAAGATGAATGCACATGCAACATATATGAATACAATGAAATTCTCAATTCAAGACACAAGCTAC